GAGAGACGACACGAACACGAAGAACGAACGAGAGACGAACGACGTACTACGTACGTAACAACGAACGAACGAACAACTACTACGAAGAAGAAGAGAGAGAGAGAGAGAGAGAGAGAGAGAGATTTGTCAAAACTTAGAATTAAATCGGTCAAAACCTTGAGGAAGACCCAAATCTGTTAAAATCTAGAGAGTGTGTGTAAAACCTAGGTTTGAAAGAAAAAAATCTGGTACATGAAAAGAACCCAAAGAGTCAAAGAAAGGAAGAGGAAGAGGAATCTGGTGACGATGACAAGACCCATTTCAAGAGATAAAGAATCAAAAACCATACACACTAAGGTAGATAGATAGAAAAAACATAACGATTTACAGGGAAATCAATGGAGAGAGAGAGAGAGAGAGAGAGACCTGACAATATGGGGATCCATGGAGAGCATTTTCAGCAGGGAGACCTCCCTAAGGGTAGTGGGCGGAACCCCTTCTTCATCGCCATGGAGGCGCGTCTTCTTGAGGGCAACAATCATGCCCGTTTCTCTATCTCTAGCTTTGTATACCTTCCCATACGTCCCCTCTCCCACCTTCTCAATCTTCTCATAGGCGTCCATCTCTCTCTTCCTCAGTAAACACTAAAGCCCCTCCTCTCTCTCTCGAAAACTCCTTTCTCTCGCTCTTTCTCTCTAAAAAACTGAAACCAGAAGTCCTGCTCTTTTTGTAGACGCAGCCGCTGAGGTGCATAGGGTCCCAACGGTCCAATGGATTTGAATTTCAAATTTCACCCTGTTTAGTAAAAAAAATAAAGCAAAGAAAGGACGAGATTGGCCCTAGTTGTTTTTGTCATAGGCGGTAATATACTCGTCTTTTAGAAAAGCCCCATCTCAAAACCTAGAAAATAGAAAGGAAAATTGCCAAAAAATTAATTTGACACCGTTTTGGTGAGTCAGCCGACTCATGTATTACGGTCCCTTATCTATTGGCCGTCTGGATATCTGGAAATATTTTTTTTGTGAAATATATTAGAGATGTAATAAATTACTTGTAAATGGTTTGTCACTAGGTAGTATTTAGATATAATTTGGGAAATACACTGCTATTGTTTGGCTATGTCGAGAAAAAATATGAGAAATGCACTACTATCCAAATATAAAAAATATGACTATATTTGGCTAACATGATTAAATTTTGGTTTCAATACAATAAGTCATTTGAATAATATAAATGGAATAACATGATTTTATTGTGATAAGTTTTATTTTTATTTATTTTTTATAGAAATCTTTCAAATGTCTCTATATATAATTTCAAATAAACAATAAATTTTTTATGCCAAAATCAAAATCTTTATGGTACAAGTTAAAAAATGGGAAGAAGTTTGATTAGTAAACTGAAACGTTTGGTAGTTACAATATAAAATTTTGAAGTATTGGAAGAGACTAAAGAGGTATGTTATTTCAATTGAGCTTTTACTAATCTCTTATGAAGATTATGTTGTATGAAATATTTTATTAGGATTGTGTTATGTAATTTCCCATTGATTACCAATTATTATTTTTATTATTTATATTTTTATACTAGAGCTGCGCGCTACAACCCAACTTGGGAATATAGGGGTGTAGAAATTTTTTTAATATGATTGCGCTTCCCAAGTTTTACACCTGTTCAAATCAATTTAGATTTCTCCCTACTACCCAAATTGGGAATAGCAGGATGTAGAAATTTTTTTAATATGATTGCGCTAGAAAATTGTCCCAAGTTTTATAATTGTTCAAATCAATTTAGATTTCTCCCTACTTTCATTTACCAATTATTAAAATTGAATATAAAGAGATCTAGAAATTTTTTATTATAATTGCAGTAGAAAATTGTCTCTTGTCAAGTTATACAACCATTCAAATCAATTAGATTTTCCCTTAATAAAAAATTTTGTTTTTATATGAGAGTTAGATGAGGGCTACAATCTATCTTAGATTTCCCTTTATTAAAAAATTTTGTTCTTATATTAGAGTCAGATGAGGGCTACAACCCAATTGACGATAGAGGGATGTAGAAATTTGTTGTGATGATTGCAGTAGAAAATTGTCCTCGTACATCTGTTCAAATCAATTTAGAGTCCCCTTTTCATATCCCCTACTTTCACTTTCTATTTACTTTAATAATTATAACGTAGAATGTATACTTGAGAGAAGGAAATATTTTTTTAAGCGGGCAGAGAGTTTACCCGTAAACTTTATAATAGATTTTTCATCCCTCACGCGTAATGGATTTCGTGATTTTTTAGGAAACCTCAATTAATCTCTATTAAAGTGTACCCAACGTAAATGTCATATTTCCTTGTAATTATTGTCATGACGTAATAGATTTCCATGTACCCAAAGTACCCCTAGTGTCATTCTCTGAAATGGATGTTAAAAAATGTTACATCCACTAAAAGTTAAAATGGATAGTGAAAAAAAGAATTTAAAAATAACATTTACATTTTTAAAAAAATAAAATTTTCAAATTTAGATGATTGTCATGGTTGATATTGTTGAACTCTAAAGTGTTGAATCGAAAATACATGTTTGAGATATATTTTTTAGGGAGACCACACAAGAATAGTATGAGTCGGCCGACTCACCAAATTTTTTCCAAATTATAAATAGAATACTTTCGACTCTCTCTCCCTCTTTGTATATATATGCGTATGTGTGACCAATTTGTAGCCAATATAAATTACAATCAAATCATAGCCTATCTAAAAAATTTCACTAGAAGAAGTTGTTTTGATGTTCAAATATCCGCAAAACGATCTTCTCGAAATCAAGATGTATGGACATGAGAAAAAGTTGGATTTCAAGTTTAGAGATAGTGCATCTTGCAATACATTTTTTGGACCGTCAATTTTTTAAATTTTCAAGTTTGTATAGATCTGCTTGATTTATACTATTTTTTAAGCTTTAAATTTTATAATTAGAGATGAAAATATATTTTAAGGCTATCACAAAGATTTTCAATATTGAAACCACATTTCTCGACACTATTTAAAGGTGGGCTCCATTTTAATTGTTTAGAGCCTCGACTCTATGCAAACCGTACCCATATATATATAGGGTTAGCCCATTAACTCATATGAACGTATGAGCCCAACGGCCCAAATTCAATCTGGGCCGATCTAACGATCATGGATGTTTGGTAGTGTTTGAATTTTTTTTCTACAAGTCTAAATTACTTGAAATTTTAGACATGTGTTCATAAAAAATAGGTGAATCTTCGAAAAATATCAAAAAAATATTTTACATGAAATAAATTGACCAAAATACCTCCAAAATGTTTTAGGGTATTTTGGTCATCTTATTTTTTACAAATAAATTTTTTTTATATTTTTATTAGATGCGCTTTGATGATAAGAACACACATCTAAAATTTCAATTGATTTCGATTCGTAAAAAAATAAATAAAATTCAAGTACTACCGGACATCCGTGATCGTCAGATTGGCCTAGATTCAATCTGGGCTGTTGCGCTCATATG